ATATAATACACATTTATTTATATACATATAAAGAAAGGAGGAATTTCACGGTTTGCCGAACATGAAAACGCTGGCCACAAGAAAAGGGATATTTAAACATTTTGACGTATCCTCCTGACCATAAAATATGACGAAGTAAGTACACCATTGTTACCCCATTTGTCTCCAATTACCTAAAAAAGAAGAAGGACCACCCAAAGCACCGTAACTTCTCGACCGGGGCTTATGAATAATATATTTATACATGTATTTCCATCTGCTTTTTCATCTTCGGAATCCTTATGGGCGAGGATTTGGCCGACGTGGATGCGAAGTGACAGCGCCGGGGGAATCCTTTCTGGACGTCCTCCGGAATCCCGGCGCCGAAAAAAAGAAAATTGCGAAACGCGGGAAAAATGAAAACGTACTGCCCGGATAATGTAATAAAGTGATTGCGCGCCCGGCCATCCCCAAAATCCCTTTGATATTGAAATTAAATTCCATCGAATTTACAGTTTTGTTTCACGCACGATTGGATTGCCAACGCAAAAAGCAACATCCCCCCAATAAAAATATATATATATACACATACACACTACATTTGTTTTTCAATATAATTCTAAAAAAAAATATGCGAAAAAATGACGCAACAATGAAACTGAAAAAAAATATATATGTATGGATAATTGTGGAAGTTGCGATCGGGCGGTGTTGTAGCTTTGAAAATGAATAGCAATTTGCGCTCGGCAATATTATTATTACGCTATATTATTTGCATAAACCCGGTTAATAATGGTAATTGATTTAATTTAATTAACTAATATAAAATTAATTATGCATTTAGTAAACAATCGAAGTGGTGCGGACTTGCATATTATGGTTATATTATGCAGAAGCGCACGAATTCATCGACGGCGCTAATGCGGCGTGATCTAATGATCAAATGTTTTCCCTGTTGCAATTAAACGCGCACTGTTTCGGTCCCCCGGTCTATCCCGGGCTGCATAATTCAAAAATCCCGCTCGATTTACAAATTGGAAAGCGATAAACATCGTTTCGTCGGCGCGGAGTGCTCCTCTGCCCGAGTTAACGGCGTCCATTAATTTGTATGCAATTGCCTTTCGAGATTTGCATGCTTTCAAATTTCCTTTGGCCTTCTTCTTTCTCTCCTCTTTATCTTTTCCTTTACTTCTTTTTTTCTCTCTTCTTCTTCACTTGTTCTTATTTGGGTTCCCCCGGCTTCGGCCGGCCACTTGACATGATTGAATTTTTACGGGATGCTCAAACTCCAGACGCATCGCATTCAAATCCTGAGACACCAAAAGCCCTTTGTTGCGGATAGTGTGAGTAATTGTGAGCTCTCCCTATGATTAGGCTTTGTCCAAACGGGATCATTAAAATATCCCGCTTTTCAATGGCACATGAAATATGGATGGGTGACACTGAAAAATGGTGAGACGAGGTGGACACATGTCCAGTATAGTATTCTGTTTTCTCTCCATCTACTCGCGCATTCCTCTATATTTTCATTTTTTTCTTCTTCTTCGGTTGTTTGTACAATCTCCCCTTTCTTTTTTTTCACCATTGCAGTGCGTTTCCTCCGATGCCATCTGGGTTTAATGAATGTGTATTTTGTTCACGTACTCGGATGGATCAGAGCGACGGTGCATAATGGTTGGTATTGATTGATTTAAAAAGGGCCCCGCGTACGGTAGGAGTGATTCCTTGGCTCATAGATCATTAGATCGAGACGTTGCTACCGCGATATGCAATCGTCATATATCAAAGTATTTTGACATGTGAAAAAGTAGCCGATGCATTAATATCACTTGGAAACTTTATAATAAATGACGACGCGCGAGATCGCCAAATATGTTCCGTCTGTAGCTAAATACGCGTCCACGGCCACCGTTTCATTATTCCATCTCATTGTTATCATAATTGAGATAAATCTGGGGGATGCCGGGGGTGGCTGCACCAAAACGCGGGGGGATTCCCCCGAAGGAAACGCCGACGCGGTCGCCGCATCTCATACGTCATCTCGCCACAGTTCCATATTTCATACAGAGATGCGATAGTGAGTTATTGATGAGGATGTATATGTATCACGCACCCTCTCCGCTCGCCCACGCAGACGGATATTCTTACCCCCGGGACTACCCATTCTTTGACCACATCCTCACTCTTTTGTCACTAAATATTAAACGCCTCAGATACGTGCTTTCATCTAAATTCAAATTCCCACTTGATATTAGATCTATCTCAGCACTAGATAACATATTCAAAATCAATCTGTCTCAACTGACGTTCCCTAACGCACTTTATGCATAATAGTTAATTTTATTGTTACCTCTTTTGCTTATATATTAATAACACAAAATCTTACGCCAAACCAATAAATTCAATCATAAAAAGTTATAGAATTCCTTAAATTAATTATATCAAATTCGTATTTTTTTTTATAATATTATATTGAATGTTTATTTTTTTTTAAATGTTTAGTCATAGTTTTACTTAAGAATAAAAGTATGTATTTTAAAGATGTAAACTGGTTGAAGTTCAAGTTAGAAATGAAAGCATGAAATAATATATTGCTTCGTTTTTAATCATTATATGGAGTTTGAGAATGGCGGTGCGGCAACAGGAAAATAAAATTAAAAGAGAAGGAACAACAAGAACAGTAAAAAAGAACTGCGTTACGGGGAAATGAAGAAGAGAGCATAAGATGGAGAAGAAAAGGACGTCGTAAGTAAATGCTATATAAATTAGTGTTTCGCCTTAATTGCGTTTGTGTATGTTTGGATAGAGTGATTTTGATTAATCTATTTTTAATGAAATCCTGTCAAGGAAAAGCGGGATGTTATTGATTCCGTTTTCGCCGGCGAATGGTAATTGTGCCGTTTCTACAATGTGTTGTTGCGGTTGTTGCTGCTGTTGTTTGTCGTCTTGGTCGTTGTTTCTGTTGTTTCTGTTGTCCGCATTTCAATTAAAAGCTTTGTTTAAAAAAAAATTATATAACTAATGGTTGTTGTAATGAAAATATGGGTTGTGTAAATGCACTAATAATTATGCTATAGAGCGCAACTGGTCATAATACAATTGGTGGACAATTACGCATGAAGATTAACATAATGTGCAGGCAAAGAACAGCCGGTTAATAAGTGGGGATCATTTGGCCGCTGGGCAAAGTGGAGCACGCGATTTAAGAGAAATTTGGTAAATTATAGCCTTATTTGACTTGAGACATATTGATGATTGCATCCCGTGTGCTAAAGTTGGCGAGCCGAGCAGCCAACCCTTCCCAACCCAGACTACGGGACGACGACTACCCGTTCATCATCCGCCATGCAAATCGGTATTAGGGGTTTCGAGCAACGCTATCGAATTATCAGTGCTAATGCATGCATGTGGAGCATGGACATCCATCCAAAGTGTGTGTAAACTAAGAACAGTTTGTTTAGCTTCGGTTTTGGTTTGATTCTGGTGGATCGTATCGGATCGGATCGGAGAAGAGAAGAGAAGACCCAGAGCAAGGCGGATCCGACAGGTCACATGCACACGTACTCTTACGACTGGATGACTGCGCGGTTTCTGTATGGTGCTTGCTGTTGGGGTTCTTAATGTTGGCTATATAGTGATAGCGGGTTCGGGTCCTAATAAAGCGTCTTCAGGAGACTGATGTACTGGGCGGGGCGCTTCTTAGCGCCGCTTGCCGTTGCCGGCCAGGTACCTCTATGATTGCTGCTCACATGACAGCTGGTGATCTATTCTCCAGCGTTAATGGCCTTCCTGCCCCCTGGCCCCGAGACCCGCTCGCCTTTTGCTTAACGTGGTCACCGACGGTCACTGGACCTTTTGTCCCTGAGCTTCGATGCTTTTGATATAGATTAATATACTTCCAACGAGCAAACGAACCACACGAACCACGCACCAAACCGAGCCCCATCCGAACTCGTACTCAAACACCTTAATGATATTTTTATGATCATTTCACCCATTCCCAAACACAATCACCCATCCCATCGCCGCGCCTAATTACGAATTCATCTCCAGACGTAATTAACTGCCTTCACGAGCTTACTACAGCTATGCACTCTTTGCGCGCACGGAAGGATCGCACAGCACGTGGAACTGCATATGCCATTCCCTGCATCGACCTTTTCCCAGAATCAGTTGAAAACCTCTCGCAGAATGAAATTATGATCGTGAACCCGAAACGTATAATCTTCCCAAACTGAAGCAGCTATAAATCAAGCTGAGAAGTCGAACGGCAGATTTTGATTTGATCCGGCTCTCTCATTTCATTACCCATCGAACATAAATCCAACTCAACATATGCATTAACGCCCAAATATCTTCCACACTCCTATAACCACAATAACTCATTTATCATTTTTCTTCAATCATCCTTAAATTGTCACCATTTCCGTATTCACATTTAAAAAAACGCTTCAATTCATTAAATTATTTTTGAAATAGTTTATATATTTTGCTCATAAATTATATAAACTAAAAAAAATACGTAAAAACATATACCAATCAACTTGTCTTCGCTTACTAATTAAGAAAATATACTGAATAAAATTTAAAAAATAATTAGTACAGGTTTCCACTCAAATATATATCTTCTAATGAATATTGTGTTGAAATTGCAATTGCAGAGTTCTTGAAATTTCTAAAAAGTTTTCTAGTTATTAAGTTAATTTGAAAAATTCAAAAATCTTATTTATCTACTGTTTTAGTAAAATATAAAAAAATAATTAGTGCAGGTTGTTATATCAAAAATGCGAAATTTAAGCTATATTAATATGTAAATATAAAATATTTATAGGTTGTTTATTCTATTTGGATAATTTAAGAGGATAAGTCTGCAGGATTAAAGAGTCCAGAATAGGATGGATATCTGCCATCTAGTATAGTTTGGTCAAACCTGTGCAGAAGTTAATGTTGCTAGATACAGATGTCGGTATGTTCCTGTTACAATCCTGCTGGCTAGGTATCTGCTATAATTCCAATAAGAGGGAAATAAACAAGATTCCTCGTTGTCTCTATAAATAGTCATTCGAAGCTGCCAAAAAGTCGTGACGATTTTAAATGAAAGCACATAAATACACTGACCCAAGGCGGACGTGCGAAAAAATCATCCTGAGCAGTGACTGCTTTCTATCAAGGTACGTTGCTGTCATGTCCTTGTTATCTATATTTTTCTCAACTATCCTTTAATTTTTAGAATGAGCATACTAGCAGAATCTGATGGGACAGGGTCCTGGATACTACTTGAAGATGATGATGACAAGGAGAATACTGCTGAATGTAAAGACCTTCAACCAGAACCAGAACCTAAGCCAGGAGGAAAGGAAAATGATGAGGATGAAGAAGAGAAAGAGGAGCAACAAGCTGAGAATGCAGAGCAACCCTTGAGACTTGAAGAATTAACTTTACCAGAAACTGACTCAGATGGAATCAGCGTGATTACGGATCCTGAGGATTTAGTGGACGAATATCCTGCTGCAGAACAAATTGTGACCTTTGAGAAACGCGAGATAACCAAAATCAATGAGACAAAAGAACCAGTTAATAGGAATGGTTTGACTTCTGCTTGTTTTATGATTATTGGATTAATTATCGCCATATATTTTCATGAGGTGTACGACAAAGACGTTGCTCCGATGGATCAACAAGAATTTAAAACGATCAAAGCGAAACATGTATTCGCGGAACCTTCGATGCGGTTAGCCAGAGATATAGAGTACATTGAAAATAACCATAGAAAAAGTTTTAAGAATAAAAACGACGAACGGCAATACGCATATAAAAATGACGAACGGCAATACGGTTCTAAAAACGAGCAGAAGAGGAAAGATAAGAAACTTCATGCCAATGATTTCCAGGAGATGGAGAATTTTTTGAACAAGAAGCAGCAATATTTGAAGAACAAGGAGGAAAATTTGAAGAGAAAGGATTTGAAAATGAATGCTAGAAGAACCGAAGTTTATAAAAAGTTCAACAAGAAGGCTACCGACAACGTTGATGGTGAATGGTATGGTATTTTGCACAAAGGCAGAGACAATGCTAGGAAAGCTGAAAAAGCTACTGAGTGGTTGTTTGAAAGATCTCAAGGAAGAAAGACGAAAAGAGATAAGGCTCGTTGGTACTTTAATATGATGGATCAACGCGAATCGAAACGTTTTAAGAAGTATTAAGCTTTTAAATTTGTGATTTATTGTATATAAGAATGTTGAACTGATCTTTTGTCTATAACATATTATTTGATGATGTATGTTGGGTTGCCTTCAAAGAATATTTTAAAATAAACTATCCTTAAATTAAAACATAAAAGGGAATTCTATTTATATTTCTAGAACCATAAATAATAATTGAATTTCAAAAGTATATTTAGTAAACTAATGTTATTACTTTCAATAAAAATCTAGTTATACTTTCAGAGTAGCACAGAGGTCATATGTGTTCGAATGGTTGAGAGTTGGTTAAGAGCTTAGCGGCTTTATTAAACATGTTTCGCGTAACGCCAAAAGCGCTTACCTTATTTAATAATATATTAAAAAATCCGAAGAATGTGATATTATGCAGGAGGGAGTGCAATGGTCTAATGACCATACAGAATTCTTATGTTCAAAAAGCATTTTTCTCGAGCCGTAAGTTTTAGGTTATATTCAAAAAATTATTTTTGAAACAAGCTTATAAAATTCATTAGAGATCAAAGACGGCAATGCGCCAAAATCACCGCTCGCCACGCTCTTTGCTAAAGGCGATGGTGATAAGAAGAAGGAGGAACAAACCCCTCCCGATGAAAATAGCCAGAAAGAGACCAAAGAGCAATCCTGGAGACGAATGAAGTATACATTGGCATTTTTTGGAATATCTTTCACATGCATCGGGGGATATCTTATCATGGAACTTGGTAAACCCAGAATTGGCCTTGACGGTCTTCCGTTGGAAGATCCATACTCTGATATGCCTAAGTTTAAACAGTATATTCTTCGTACTATCAATGAACTTAATTATTATAAACAGGTAAATTTATATAAAGTACACTATGTAAAAAGTTCATTTTGAGATGATAATTATTTTTAGTTGATAAAAGAACCATCCAGAGACAAGTTGTTGCCTGATATGATTAAACATCCTTACTATGCACCAAAATATACTCTTGTACTAGAGTTTACTGATGTTATTGTACATCCAGAATGGACCTACAACACAGGTTGGAGGTTTAAGAAGAGGCCTGGACTTGACCATTTCCTAGAATCTTTGAATGGCGTCTTTGAAATTGTTGTTTACACAGCAGAGCAAGGTATGACGGTATTCCCGATTATCGAAGCCCTTGATCCTAAGAATCACATAAACTACAAATTGGTGAGAGATGCTACTCTTTTCATTGATGGACGTCACGTAAAGGACTTAGACAAACTAAACAGGGAGTTGGAGAAGACAATAGTCGTCGATTGGGATGGTAAATCAACAAACCATCACCCGGAAAACGTATTCCAAATTCCTCGTTGGAAAGGTAACGACGACGACATGACACTGTTCCATTTGAGCTCTTTCCTTCTGGCAATATCTCAAAACCAGATCGACGATATTCGCGAAGTGGTGAAGTACTACAACCAATTTGATGATGCTCTGGCGACATTCCGCGAGAAGCAAAAGCAGCTCATAGAATTGGCTGAAGAGGCGGCATCTGCTCCCAAACCTCAGTCGCCAGTTAACAAATGGACTCCAAATTTCTTCAAAAGGAATTTTTAAACTTTCACCAATTTGGGTTTTAACTAATTTATAAAGTGATTCCCTCTTTTTTTTTTAAATGTGTATTTAATTGGTTCTGTGACCAAGAGAAAAGAACTGTTTATAGTAAACGCGAAAAAAGCTTTTCACAAAATATTGAAACTCGTCCAGTTCGCTCCCATTTATTTTAAATAATAGAAAGGTATAAATGCAACTCTTCTTTATATATCCAATCACAGTAGAATGATAATAAAAAGATGAGTTTCATTGTAAATATGTATTCTGATTATTTTGTAAAATTTTGTTAATATATTTTTGAAGCCTTTAAGTTTAAACACAAATTATATTTCAAATAAATTCGTTTAGAAGTGAATAACGTCTGTTCTTTTCCGTTACGGAAAATTCCTAAAGGAAATCATTGCTACGTCTGTATTCAAATTACCCAATCATAGCTTTCTGTATAAAGCGATCAATAATGGACATCCCTTATTTTACGTGATGATTTTCGCGCTCTTCGTATATATATATCTTTCTAGTATTCTGTTTTCCTGATGAATGGGGCACCTGCTTGGCCCCACAAAATCCACTTTGGCATTGCGAATTCATATATGATTGAGCCCCAAATCCAGTATACATAACGCATTTTATGTTAGTTTCTTCCGAATTATATGCATCGGTTGCTAGTGTTTTAGCGCGCGACGCTTGGTATGTTTGCAGATTGCCAACCAACAGTTTACCACCCTTGCAATCACTTATCAGGGATCGTTTTTTATTTTCAAAACTACCCAATCATAGCTTTCTATACAAATCGATCAATAATGGACTTCCCTTATATTACGTTCTGCTTTTCGCGCCTTTTATACATTTTCATATATGGAATCCTGGTGGACAATAGAGTGGAAAAGGCAGGTTGGTGTTATTGCTTGCAAAAGTTGGTATTACTACAAAACATCAATCAATTGTTTGCGACCCTTCATACGAATTATACTTTTGCATTTGATAAAAATTCGTGTGTGTTTTGTGTATCTTTGCAGTATTCTGTGTTCCTGGTGAATGGGGCACCTGTTTGGCCCCACAAAAGCGACTTGACAGTGCGAATTCCTATAGGATTGAGCCCCAAATCCAACAAATGTAACCTATTTGATGTTGGTTAGTTTCGAACTATATATAGGTAGCTAGTGTTTTTGAGAGTACGGTTGGTACGTGTCACTGAGCAACAGTTTGCCATCCTTACAATTGCTTGCAATCACGTTCAGCACGATTCAATATGAATTTATATGAATCCTGTGTTTCTGGAGGGTGTTTAGAGTGTGCGCGTTTTTAGAATATCTTCCCTTAGTTCTGATATCCTGGTGAATGGGGCACAAGTGTGGCACCACAAATGTTTATTGGTAGTGTTAAAATATACATAGAATTGCGCCCCAAAGAGACATAACCTTTTTAACCCAAAATGAGGAATTTAGAATTGTACAGTATTGTATCTCATCCTCACTTTAAGATTGTGTGTGCTCCAGTGTCACAAAGTTTGGCTGTGAATGATAAGATTTACATTTTATTTGAAGCCACTCAACATTCTCAGTGCCTAATTTCCTATAATTGTGCTACAGAAGACTTGAATTCGACAGAGTTTATAGATGGAGTTTATACTAATATGGAATATCTTCCATTTGAAGATATGGTATTTCTCACCACAAAGAATGAACTGGTTTTCTTGGATGGTGATGTAAATTTGGTGAAAAGGATAATTCTCGATGGAGAGGAGGACATCATACATGCTAAATGGAACGGACACCAGGATGTGCTTGCTATATTCTTTGAATGCAACAAAGTATCATTGTATTTAGTAAATGTAATTGAAGAACTTGCTGTTTCAATAAGTTCAACGAACCTGGATGACGAGGTAATAAAGTAAATATAATTTTGTTAATTGCAATAATAAAAATAATAATTTTAGCCAATTGAACATATTGATGTAGGCTGGGGAGGAACTCATAAATACAAAAGAGCAGAAGAGGTTCCAAGTAAGTACAGCAGATTTTTATTTTTATTTCTATTAAATAATTTATATTTTAGGTACATACGTCTGTGATAACCAAGAACCTGTTATTGATTGGAAGGGTAATGGAGACTTATTTGCCATTAATTATTTTGATGGCGAAGAGCGAATTATAAAGATATATAATAAAAGCTGCGAGTTATTGTATAGTTCAAAGGGTATACAGTCAGGACTGGAACCCTTGTTAGCATTTAAACCTGTCGGAAATGTCATAGCTTGTGTGACATCATCTGATGGCCAGGATCAACGTTTGATGATTATTGAAAAAAATTGCATGTTGCTGAGCATGATACCATTGGAAGAAGGGGTAAGAAATACAATTATTTAATACAATAATTTTAGTTTTCAAGTATAAATAGATTTATTCTAAGTTTATTTCTTTTTTAATTGTTACAGGCTAAAGTACAGAAATTGCTCTGGTCTCCATGTGGTACTTGTATAACTGTGCAACTTAAAAGACACGACCAAGTTTGGATTGATATATATTTAATACACAATTGCCATTACTCGTTAAAACAACGACTTCCGTTAGATCAAGCAAAGACATTTGTTGATTATAAAATTAAACCAATGCTATCTGGAATATTTAATCTTGAACTACATTATAATTATGGGTACTACGAGTATACCTTTTTGAGGAAATTCATTAGGAGCAATATAATGAAATTTGATTATGGTTTAAACGTGAATGTTGAGGGTAGCACTTTGAAGTGTTATTATTTTGCATCCGGCTTGTCTTCATCCAACGACGAAGCACATTACATCCATGAGCATACTTGTCCAATAAATGGTGTTGTCTTTTCTGATGATAGTTACAAATTGATTTATATTGATTCGGAAAGTATTGTATATATTTATGATTACACCGACCGATACAATTGGGATCTGCTGTATACTGTGCAACTACCTAAATCGACGGAACATATTCCATTAAATGCCTATAGGTTATATATGCCTAACGACACTAAGTTGTGTGTAGTTTGCTTTTCCGAAGAAATGGAAGATGCGTTACACACATATAATTTGACTACAGTCGAGCCAACTTGCGTAATATCTACCACTAAGAAGAATATTATTGGTGTGTCGACCATCATGGATAAGAAACTAGAGTTTTACTCTAAAGATATTAACAAAATGCCAATACATCAATTTTTTAACGTACAAATAAATGGCTCTTATCATTTATTGTATATGACAGTGGATGGTGGACTCTTCATCGACCATGAAAGAGTTAAAGAAAAAATAAGTTCATTATTTGTGCACAGTAATAGATTAACAGTTACAGTGATTAATAATGAATTAGACATGGTATCCACCGACAATGTTTACGGCGTTTACTTGACTGCAGAAGTCATACAAACATTGAAAGAAGGTGGCTCCTTTGAGGATATTTCCTATAAAAGACCGGTCGAACAAGGGAGCGTTGTCTTGAATACTATCGAGAAATCTGCTACCACTATACTCTTGCTTCCTAGGGGAAACATCGAGTCTATTGAACTGAGAAACATAGCACTCTTCATAGTACGAGACAAACTTTTGGACCATAAATATATTGATGCATTGCATTATATTAAAAGGCAGTCTCTTCGAATAGATCTTCTAGTAGATTTAAGCCCTAGCCATTTCTTTACTAATAAAGTTAGTATTTTCCGCGTGCTCGATTTGTGCGCGAGTTTGAATAAGTTTTTCGTGGAAATCAAGAACGAATCCTCGTTGAACGAGAAGGAAATGAAATTGTTGGGCGTAGAGTCGCAGTTGGAGAATAAGGTCGTGAAAGTGGCGGAATCTTTCGAGGATGTGTATCTTCGACTGCAAGAGCCGGAAAAGCATCTGATGACTTACGCTTTGGCTGCTTATTTCACCGATAGAAATATTGTTGAAACTATGACTAAAGTTTCAAAAATATGTAATACGTTGACCAGCATCAGACCGGCGGATATCGTGAATGCTATTGAAGTGATCAGCAACCATGTGGATAAGAAGGAGTTGTACGAAGCATCTCTTTTTACATTCGACTTGCATTTAGCCGAGTTGGTTGCTTCGAAGTCACAAATGGATCCTTGCGTGTATCGACCTTTCATACAGAGGGTGACTGCAATGGACGAGTTTGAAATGAGATTCACGATCTGCTACGAGATCGGCCGCTTCAAAGAAGCGCTCTTTTACTACTTCCAGATGTATCGGGAAGAAAGCATAACAGGCGAAGAAATGATTCTGTTTGCCACTGAATCAGAATTGCTGTCCGAGTTGTATAATATGGTGGACGTCTCGGATGACATTTTTGAAGAGGTGGGTATGCTCTATTATGAAATTCTTATGAATGACCAAAACTACCTGGAAGCTGGTATTCTCGCGAACCGATTACAGCGATACGTCGAAGCAGTCACCGCCATGCTCCAGGGGTATCACTGGCAGGAAGCGTTAACTGTTATTGATGCTGGTGTACTTACCCCAGAACAATCGCTAGTTTTATATCGTACGGTGGCTAATACGATGACCGCTCACAGAGACTACGTGGATGCTGCAAATGTATTAGTGAATCACTGCACTGATTACGATGCTGCTATGCAGTGCTACATTTCCGCAAAGGAGTTTGAATTAGCATTGAGGCTCTCGATTAGGATGAACCGTCCAAACTTTCACCCAATGATTGAAGACAGTATGGTTATCGAATGCCAAAACTTATGTTCTCGTACGCAAGAGTTAAGTGAGAAATTTACTAAGTACTACGAGAGATTGAAGGTGGTTCGTCAGAAAATGAAGGCGGAAGCGGAGGCGGAACCGCTTCATGATACCTCCAACATCGAATTTAGTGATGTAATGAGTGTTACCACTGCAGCATCCACAATTTCCACAAGGTTGGTTTATTAAAAACTAATTAAAAGTAACATTAATTAATTTGTTTTAATCATTAGATCATCGAATAGATCAAATCGCTCAATGACGCGTAGATTGAAGAAGGAGCAAAAGAAGTATACAACACTTAAAGAAAACTCCAGGTACGAGGATATAGCGCTTCTATATAACCTTTCGATACTTGTGGACGATGTAAAGGAGATTCAGAAGGCGGTTAACGAGATGTACTGCACAATTCAGTTACGCAATCTGGATATACCAGATGTGGTAACGGCATGCGAACTTATAGATGAATTAATCAAGCATATCGATAAGTATTCGCCTGACATTTGGCGTGAGGAGTTTGCCGCCTACGAGCCGAAAGAAGAGGATAAAGGTGTTTATAGTAATCTTGTCCATTTAGGTAAGTTGAACATAAGAAATAGATGTATTCAAAATTTAATGTTTATTTATTTTCAGATCACAAATACCGGATGAAGCCAGAACTTAAAGTCAGTTCAAAGGAAAGGGCTACAATAATATTCCTTAAGAGACGTTAATTTGATTTTGTTATTAACAAAAGTTTTTTTTTTGCTTTCATAGTTTATTTTTTAATTGTTTTTTTAATATAACAATATGTGGATTTATTTATATATTGACAGCTAAATAAACAGTTTATACAGTTTTAAATTGATGCAGACGCGTTGCTGACGTGGCTCCATCTGTCGTTTGTAGTTTAATCCCTCTCCCTCTTCCACAGCGCTGAAGGGTGTGCTGAAAGCTGCATGTAAATGATGAAGAACGGACAGAAAGTGGAATAAAGATTTATCGATTTCTATTTAAAGTCATCATTCTAAGAAACTAGTTTTGTTTATTCGTTGGTATAACATTAGTAGGGTAACATGAAAATGCATTTGAAAATATATAACGCTAAGTAATAATATAAACATGCTAACTATGCAGATATATATATATATAGTACATGGTATATTTATAATATATATATGCTTATAAAACTTGTGAAATTGCAGAAAAACACTAACAGTTTTAACAATTTTGGACCTCTCAATATATTTTTTTTTTAATATTCATAATGCGTAAGGTGCACCATACACTATCACACCAGTATATCGACTGATTTTTTTTTTATATATATATATATATTGTTTTTCTCCTTATAAATTAACTAATTAAACGATTCTCACATTCTCGTTGAACGCTTGCAAAGTTCAATACGCAGAATAGTCGAAACCGCGTTTCCAATATTATATTTTTTTTTTCAGAATTCTTGTTATTGAGCTTAAGGTTTGCATTCTGGGTATTCAACCTTAACTCAAAGTGGAAGTACTGCACAGTAATGAAACATAATGCGATATATTATTTTTTTACTAACAGCTTGTTTTCTTTTGCTTCACGTAACAAAACAAAACGTTCCCTAACGTTATAATAATAATAATAATAATAAAAAACAACATGATTTATAAATAAATTGTATAGTTTGGTATTCGTCCTATATAAAATTTAGTTTATCGTTATATATATATTTCATTTATTAAATATATATATATAGAGATAATTATAATCACAAGGATTCCAACAGCTTCCTTCTTCCATTTTAGCCTACAATAGTGGAGCGTATTAATACCTTGAATGATGTGCTGGCGAAAGTAATCCTAGAAAGACTGGCAACAAATTCTCGGGTAAAGTATAAGTATGTTCAAATGTTGTCCTAGCGACCACATTTCTATTACAAACTCCGGGGATGCAAAATATCGACACTAACGCATGTATTGGCTAATAACGAATCGATTTAACCACTACACAGATTACTGTTTCAATTGCAGCGATGTGCTCTATGTACAGAGTATGTCAAAAACGAAAACTGCGAGGGGGAGAAAAGAAAGAACCGAAAGTTGAAGTTGAGATGAAATTGGCTTCTTCCAGTAGTTTTATGTCATCTACCTAGTTATAAATATATTTAGAAAAGTGTTTCTGGTTTCTTTCTTGTTTTTGTTGTTGTAATGAGATGCTTATCTATACTTTATTATATTATATTCTAATTACTTGTCCTTTAATCTATTGATAAATAATGATTAGTAGTATCTTATTATTTATTCCTTTGACCGGACTTAGAGAGTAGACGGACGGTGCGGCCCGTTCTCAACTAATACTGCAATTGGGGGCCGCCCTCCGAAGGGAATTTAAATCTATAAGGCATTTTGAATGGAGACGAAGTTTCGAACGAACGAAAGGTAAAAAGGTCGATACACAAAGGGAAACCAAGACTAGAATGAATTTGATAATTTGGCGATTCCTTTAAACATGATACACAATAAGACTAAGACATAGAATATAGACTTTTTGGGGTAATAGAGGGTTGTTTCTTATGCTCCATTGGAGGCGGCCTCGACGCTGGAGTAATTCTCCTGTGTAACGCAACGTCTTTCGCAATGCCTCCCATGCGGAACGCGTTACGAATATATGCAATATGTATGTATGTATATTAGGGGTAAGTATGGCTAAAATTCCTCGAAAAAACATTTATTATTTAGGAACAGATCCCTAATCCTCCGTCAACTCCGAAACTTATCGGCACCATCTTGGAGATATTATCGCGCGGAAGAGTTATTCAAACTTCGCGATAAGTCCTCGAGAGAAGAAAATTTTACGACAATTACGTCGCGTCAAGTTTCCGAGGAGACGCGGAAAAGAAAAGAAACTGGTGATACTCCTATTTCCATTAACTTATTATATTAAACTAGAGAAAAAGAATTGCAAGGGAGCTCAAATCCGCCTTCGATTCGCAAACTTTCTTATTGGATTCATTAAAAAGAAAATGTTATTTTACGTGCTGACGACTGTAGGTAGGTGTGCTTTTTTTTCTTTATTTCTTTGTTCGATTAAACTATCGCGGAGGGAGTACTTTAGGAATCGGGAAGTTTGCGGATCTCCATGCAGTTGAAGCATATCGAAGTCGACGAAGGATGCGAGCAGAACTAAAGGTATTATTAAAAACGCGCGCGGAGACCGCCTCCCGATTGAAGCAATGAATCGAATCCTTCTTCGCAGCTCTCATCTGTAGCTAGTTACTTTGTTGCTTTACTGTGATACTTTATTCGTCGGTGTGGAATCAGCTTTGCGTTGCTGCTATTGTAGACATAGGTTTTGTCAGGGGCGGCAGACTTGGTCCAGGCCATGGGCAGGCGGGCGGTACGCTCCTGGCTTGCTGCAATCCAGCCGCCGACTCCGGATGCAGGAAGTTGCGTCTTTGCTCCATCTTCTCCGCCTGAAACAGCCAACAAGAAATAGCATCTGTGTAGTGAGTGAGTGGTCGGGTGGAGTTTGGGAAAAGGACAATCCCAGACTGGACGGTTGCCAAGGACCAAATTATTTCTTATTTCTTAGTTTCTAGTCCGGAGGCAGATAGAGATTTATGTATTGTTTATCACTTGGGCTAATGAAAGTCCGCTCCATTAATCATCCAGCTGGAGGAGCAGTTCGCAGGGCAGACGCGGCCCATATTAATCATCTTGATAACGTCATTATCTCGGTTAATTTGATATTTTCATTGCGCCGGAGATGGCCTCCCCTTGATTCGGCTTTAGGTGTGAAATGATGAAGATGCATGAAGCCGTGAGAAGCGTCGACGCTGAGCTCGATAATTATGTCTCGTAGCAGGATAATCGCGGCGCGCCCTTTCTTCCGTTTTGCCGAAACCATGAAAACCCCGACAACCCTCATCGCAAGACACGCGCTACACCGCATTACTCAACAAAAGCTGTTGTTCGGACGAAAAGTTTACTGTCCCAAGGTGGGTTTCCTATTATTATTGCCATCATTATATTATGTTGCAGCAAAGGAAACGAAGCTTTTTTTTTGTTTCCTTCCAGTCCGCAGCGACAGCTAAGCAAAATGTCGGCACGCGATATTCACTTACATCAAACACTTCCGCTTCTATTCCCGATTAAGTACATACTGCGACGCCGGTCAATTCACTAACAGATATTTCTATTTCACTTAAGTATTTCATTTATTATTCACCAAAGCTACCAAAATTTTAAATTTACGTTCTCAATTGTTCACAAATTTTCACAAAAAATTGAATTTTCCATAATAGATTTTTGTATATGCATATTTAACAAATTTGGAGTGACTTACATGAGCTTGTATTCTAGTAGCTATTAGATCGGGTAGAAGCTCTAGCTGCTCTTGGAGTGCGACCAGCTTGTCCTCGAGCGTACCGAGCCGGTCCTCCAGGGTGTCCTGCCTAGTACTCATGTCGGACACGATCTCGTAAACGGTGTTCTGGGTCTGCAATGGACGATGATTGATTGCCGAGGTGTTAAATATTTATTTTGCATGTTGCACGTAGCGTAGGGAGGACGAGAAAAAAAAAAGAGCAAACAACGAATATATAAAACAAGAGGGGTTGGGCCCATTAGCTCATTGAGAGGGTTGGGTAAGTGTCGGCCTCTAATTATAGGCTGAATATTTTACCTTTGCCATGTCCGTAATGGTATTGGCGTTGTCCATTAATTTGCGTTGGTCCATTTTCACCTTTCGTAATCTAGAAAAGGCAGAAAAAAAAAAACAAATCCACACAAATGGGGGGAGAGTATCGTTAAATAGTTAATCGTTAATCGGTCGTGAAACGTTATCATACGCGTAAATGGCGAGCAGGAATTTGCGCTGATGGGTTCGAACTCTGCCTGGATTGACGCGTTTCACTAGCCTTGTGTGTTTGTAGATGAGCCACGTCTCGCGGAGGACGTTGGCAGCAGCGTTCTTGAGCTGCAATTAAAAAAAATGTGTGTCTCATTAATCCAAGGTAACGAGGACACTGATGGTGGTTGGGTTTGTACTCACTCGTTTCGTCAATTGTGTGTCCATCATGAAGTTATGGACATGCTTCTCCGCCCTCGTCAACTCCAACTTGCGGGACACGACCGCCACCAACAATGCGGTACAACCTGCACCCTGCAATTATTAGAGAGTGTTTGCTAGATAGCATATCTCTGTTATATAAGCGATGCATCAATCTTACCATAATTCCTGTGCTGACGGCAATGCCGCGGCCGCAGTACGTGTTCGGAACGATGTCTCCGAAGCCGACGCTCAGGAAGGTGATGGCTATGAGCCACATGGCGTTCAGCAGATTCGCGTGTTCCTCGTCGTGAAACCTGAAAGTGCGCCAATTCCATCAAGGATCGATTTCCACACTACATTTAGCATAGATTAAAAGATCATTTTTCGTTTCGTTTGACAAAGTCCAACTATTCGAACCAATTTAAGATACAATTTATACTTGTGTTGCGATACTTATCTTGCAGTTTTGATACTATTATAAAGCAAAGTGTCTTTATATTATTGGAAATAAAAGCAATTAAAGTGAATTGATTTTCTTTTGATGTAGAAGATCACTAATCTAATAAAGTAAGTAGGTGTTAGTAGTACCGTTCGCATTGCCTGAGCGTCCAGCTAGCAATTATCCAGAGTGACACCATGAAGACCAGGAGAACTGTGCCGGGACAAATAGTCATCAGCGTCTTGAGCACGAAGCGAGTATTGAAGTTTATTCGATTTAAGGCTCCTATGCTGCGAGAGGAGGCGTCCGTGAAGAGTTTGCTGTGCAACAGCATCACCCGGCATATCAAATAAAGTCGTAAGAACATAGGCAATGATAGAGGCACGTCGTATGGAACGCATTTAGAGCCGATTCCGCCGCCTTTATTAGCCAGTTTCGTGGTCCAGATGAACCGGTAGTGGCCGGGAATAGGATGGACCGCGCAGATCAGCAGCTCCATGGAGATCTGGCATATCCTTTGCCACGTCATCGCGATCCGCCAGTCATCGGCGCAATTGTCTATCATGAAAAGCTACGAACAGACGTAATAGAAAAAAAAGAAGAAGAAATATAGAGAGATAAGTAAAATGTAACCTTGTCGGTCGCCTAATGCTGTACAATAAGGTATGGGCCAGGTGAAAACGAAACAAATTCCGGTGTTCGCGTGTTCATTCCATTACCATCTGACCCAGAAATATAAACATGGGCTATTGTAAATTGTCTGTGTCTCCTTATCTTTGTGCGCCCACTCCCTTCTCTCCGCGGAATGTAAATAGTCTCATTGAAATGTAAATGTACACGAAGACATTACATATAATTCAAACAAAATATGGCATCGCGGTACCATTCATCATAAGCGTGTCACATGAACAATCCCCAAACCCATGAATGCCCCAAATGTACTGAGTGTTATGTAAATAAAAAGATGATCAACTTACTTGCACTTCTAAAGCATGGTAGGCCACGATTAGGCCTAAAAGAATCACAGTCGAAACAGATATCAGAGTTTTGAGCGCAATTGAGTAAAATTCGTCCTGCAAGACAAAGACAGAGAAAAAAAAATAGTAGATAGATGAGCACCATTGATGGTTGTGGATGGAGTGGCGGGTTGAGTGTGGTGGGTGAATGAGTGCGTTTAAACCCATGACCCAGACCGAAACCCAAAAAGCCCATTGCTTACTTTGCGATAAACGCCAGCACTTGAGAGTTCGTTCTCGATAACCATCACGATAATGCCAAACATGCCCATGACCAGGGCGTAATCACTAATCCTTTTCCGCTTCTCGAAGAGCGCTTTACGTCTGCCTAATCTGTAGCCGACGTTCGGCTTGTGCTTCAGACTGCCCGAAGAGGGTCCTTTGTAGACGCCGCCTCCGAGCTGGCGCTCTTCCATGTAGCGAGGGTAGTCCACGTGGCCGACGAGCGCCACCCCCGACTCCTCCGGCTGGATCCTGGCTCCTGCAGAATCCCGGCTCGAGTTCTTCATCGCCCCAGGGATGGACAGCGTCGATACCGGTTTTCGCAACTGCAACCGACCCGTTTCTATTTAGCCGCACAGACCATAACTTACTGCACTTCAGTTTTTTTTTTCAATTCAGAAAAAAAAAGCTCATCTAGGTTCACTAAAGGTACATCCACAGGAATTCAACAACAACAAAATAAAAACTTCATAATTATTATTATCATTAATTTTTTTTTTGTTCGTCGTTTTCAAATTGCAGTGTTTCAGGCCACTAGGACAAATACAATGGGGCGGGGGGTTGTGATATAACATAACATTTTGTTCGAAAGCAAGTTAAATATTCGTAGGACTAATTGTGGGGCAGCTTTACCTTCCAGAGATCGCAATTAGTCTGTCTTTAGTTCTATCTCTCTGGCAGATATCGCCCTCCCCACGGGTATTCTCATTATGTACACAGTGTATGCGTGTAATTGGTCAAGATTGTATAACGCTGGTAAATATTTATATACGTGGACATAAATTCTCGTGGAAAGCGAGGGAATTGCCTTTCTGCGACTTTGGACATTTACGTTTCGCTTATAACATGCTTCTTTCTTTTGCTACGCTCTTTTTCTTTTTGTGGGCAACTCCCGGTATTCTTATTGAATGCGAAATCTTCGAGATTACTCTGTCAATTCGAGATGATGGTGAGGCGGCGAGCGTAATAGAGAAATGGAAGAGCGTCAGTAAAGAAGCACGCATAGAGATACGTTAAGAGTGAAACGGATAGTTAGATTGATTGATTGATAGACAGGTAGATAAATAGATAGATAAAGAGACAGATAGTTATGTAAGTAGATAGAGTGGAGTTGCGAGAAGCAGCTAATGTGAAAAAGTGAGTCCTCTAAATCTAAAAAGGTTGGGTGTTCTGTGCAGGAGACCGGCAGATGGAGCGATATCGTCAGGAGGTCCTGCGGGGATAACGATAACGAGGCGCGATGTGGTCCTTGTACCTTGGCTCCTCCACCCAATCTGCAGTTTGGGTCGGGCTTAGGCTCGGGGGACGACGCCACACGGCTACATGCAATAAGAAATTCATGAAACCCGGTGTGCCTCCCCGTTCACTTGCCACGTTATATCGATTTCGTGACTTGACCGCATTCGTTTCCATTCTTGAGGAGGAGCCACTCATACACCTTAAACCGCATTATCCTGTTAACAAAGATTTCGACCAAATCCCGGATCGTTACCTTTACCGCTAACGTTACCGCATCCGCAGCGACGATATCACTCGGTTGTCGGTGCGACCGTGCATCGTAACTCTCTCTTTACGTAATTGATAATGAGATAGTTTGGGGGATGGTTTAATAATATTAGCGAGACTGGGATCCGGCGAAGTTCGCATCAATTCTGATTAGCGATGCGACGTTAAGTGAAATAGGAGAGCGGAAGTCGCTACTCAAATTTGCATGCGACTTCGGGATTACGTTGTCTATCAAAATGAGCTTAAATAGAAACTTCGTCTGCATCGATTTCGGAGGGCGGTTAATCAGAACTGTAGTGATCTTGCATGCACGGCGTCTCGGAGAAGATTTCGTTTCTATGCAAACAATTGAAATGGGATGTTCAAGTATAAGTGAGGCATTGTGAGAATAATAAATGTATATAAAAAGGTGTGTCAAAGGTGTGAAAGGTGTCTAGGCTGAGGCAGATTTTTGTCTAATTGAGCGCATGTTGCCCACCGTTCTCACATAGGACACTGTGTCGCTGGTAACCTCCGTGAGGGCGCGCTTCAGCCTTGTTCTGCGCGCTTGAGCCATCGTCTGGGAGGACATCAGAAGTCCAGAACCCTGTTGGATAGGATCTTATGCTCTCAAATCTTAATCTGACATCCCCCTCGTATAACAAACAAGGCCCCAATGCCACAAATCAGAAATAAAAGAAATAGTTATTTTATACCAAATGGATGGCGCCCATAATATACACAAACATAAACAAAAATTAGTCAAATAAAATTAAAAGCCTCTCACTTCTACATTTGAGACTTTTAAAGCCCTAAAACGAAGGAAATAATAATAATAATAATAAAAAGAAAACGCAGTCCGTGGCTTCTATATTCGGAGAGTAGTAAAAAGTCTCGGAATCCTTATCATTTCCACGAGAACAATAAAACGATTTGTCGGGGCTCAAATTGAATGCGCCAATCCGGATGATTTACGTCCATTTGTCCTTTGACCACACTCCGATCAAAATCATACGAAATAAAGAAAACAATTTACATAAATACATAAAGAAGATACACCTTACACATCATCAAATCTTATAGCTATTGTACTGTTGTTTTTTTTAAATATGTTTGTGCACGTTTAATGTATACAAAGCAACGGTGAATGCACTGAAAAAAAACATAAAATTATATAGAGTAACGTACTTCCGAAAGGATACGTTTTTTTTTTCAAAGCAGTCTAATTAAAGCTTATAAACCTATACATGTAAATAAATTATATCGACAAAAAAATAATCAAATAAATAGGAATTCTTGATGAGTACAGGCATTATTCGGAAAACCATTGTATCATGAATGGGGTGACCGGTGAATGGCCGCCGTTCCAATTACGCGACGGATTACTTCATTATCAGATTTTGGTGGATGCGCCAGGCGAAATGTGTGATCAATACGCCGGAAAATTGCGTAATTTAAACTATGTCAACTGGCCATGGTTCATCGACCGAATTCCACGTCGACAGATCCTTGCGTCCGCCGGTTTGCACGGATTCACTTTCGCATTGAATCAGGGACGGCGGCCGTCCTTAGGCGGAAATGAATTTTCCACCACAACAATGTCGACCTGACGTTCATATATATATATATACATTAAACGTTTTTAATTTCGAATGTACATAATAGATCTGCCATCCGGCGGAATTTGTTTCATTCCGTGGTATTAAAGTGGATTTCGTAAATGTATGTCAGTGTATAAGAGAGAGATAGAAAAAGAGAAAAATGAATGGAAGAAAGAATGAATACCTGCAATTATGTATGGATTATGATGGATGCGCCTGGTTTATATTTAAATTTTGTGTTTTAATCAAATTTTATTATATTCATGAAAAATATTTTTTTTTATTTTTTTTCAGAACGCTTAAATTATTTAAACTTTTGATTTGCCCTGAAATTTCATTTCATTTTTATACAAAAGCAAATTCAATAAAATATACAATTTATTTAGTTTTAATATCGACATGTCTATTGTTAACTACTAAATTCACATAGCTGAACAAGTAATAATAATAACAGTCACACAAATTACAATAACAAAAATTTAAACGGTTTTTACTCAAATAAAAAAAAAACTATGCAGTTAAATTTTAAATATTATTATTGTAACAATGCTTCTTGTATAATAGTTAATCGAGTATTGATGATGGTAATATTTTTGTAATTATTGATTTTGTTTAATACATATATTTTTTGTTTCAAAAAGTTTTTATCAATTTATAATGTAGTTGAGAAAGAAAAAAAGTTTTAAGTAATTGCTATTAATTTTTCCCTTTAAATAACTTGCATGAAATACAAATATTAATAGGTTATTGATCATGGCTTTATAATTTATAGCTATCATTTATTTGATAATTTTTATTATTTTGTTGCTTTTATTGTGTTTCCCTTTAAAAGAGGTCATATTGAAATGATTCCGAATGAAAAGCAATTGCAGAAATGAAATAATGATACGGAATTGACGTGTGGAGGCGGAGACGGCACATATGAAAACGGAGGCAACGGCACCTCCCGATTTCGATTTCCGCTTAATAATACAGCCTGCCGTCTACAGTAAATCCAGAAAGTTGCCGTAACTTCTATTATGTTATACAGATTTTTCCCCAATTCACTCCCCCTATTCACAAAGGGTTGCAAACGACTTTTTGTTGTGCTATTACTAACTCTTTTTTTATACCTCATTTGAATTTAACAAATAAGAAAGCTATTCCTTGTCTTTCATCTTTTGCCTCCCCTCTATGCGATGCGAATACACACATAATCCGGATCATCCGGATTCCCGGGAATTCCGATTTAAGCGGCGTCCAGATTATCCAAACCGGGTCATTACTCCGCTTCTTCATATTTTTTTTTTATTACTTTTTCGCGCTGCATAAATGTTTGGGAGATATGTGTTGAACTTTTCCCCATTAAATCTCCTTCTTTACTTCGTGCTTTGTTCTATTTGTATGTCTGTGTGCTGTATATGTTTCTAATATCGACGAATCAGATTACTAAAATCTACGCTTATCGGAAATATTACTTTTGTTTTTGGCAGTTTCATTTCTCAGCATATTTTTGTTTATAAATCTTGTTTATTTTGCTCGAGTTTTATTTATTTTTACGAGAGATGCGGATGGAATCTGTTATGGAGGGGAAAATAGAAGTAGGCGAGGAGTGCGTTGCGTAAGTACGGGAGAACAATGGAAGGGTAGTTTTTGGAAATTTGCCAATGGCGGTAAATTAGTTTAGGGGAGTGTGTGATGCTCCGGCCGTTGAATATTGTTGGTTTTGTCGGAGCTACTCATACGCCGTACGGGTTTCTGAAGGTTAAACAAACGTTCTTCCAGAGGACTATGAACCTGATACATGTTTGAATAGTCAAAGACAGTATCGATTTGAATCCAAGGGTTGTTTGCTTGTAAATTAATTTTGTGGATTTAGAAATGTGTTAAAGTGGACAAAAATCCTGTAAGGGTAAAGGTAGCTAGAATTATAGTTAGAGGCAGCCGCAGTCCAATCCAACGCATCGCAGATCAAGACAAGCCAGCAACTACGAACACTCTAATAAGGTAGTACTGTACCGTCTCAGAGGGACCACGCAATGTAGTCGTGGTGCGAAGGAAGGTTAATTACAAAAAAAAAATAGTTATCTTTACTTAAATTAATTATTAACAACTTCAAGATTTCGTTTTGTTCTGGTGCTAAAGCTTGTGTATTATTTTTTTTTGTAGTCATGCAGCGTACCTGTCTGAAATTCCGCATGGCGCCGTTGATCCTGAGGGAATCGGCTGCAATTCCCGCGATTCCGCCATCGCTGTGGTCCCGGAGCTGCCTTAGGGACGTGGAAGCCGTGGCCCCGTGGACGCAGTTCGCGCCGCAGCATGGAGCCGATGCTTCTGGCTGCGAACTTTGCCGGATAATTCGGGTACCCGGAAGTGCCGTGACCACAGCGGGTGCTGCCACTGGGCAAGAGCTGCACGAGACCTGAAGAACCGTCACCTATACTTGTGAGACCATCTGCACCCGCACAAAGAATGACACAATCCCACCGACAGCTTCGAAGGCGTGGGCCCATTCATACTTCAACATCGACTGACTGACAAGAGTCGAATTGCTTTAGAAACAATTGAAATTTTCTACAGCGTGCATCATATTAGCAGCAAGACGACTCGAGAAGTCCAAGTCGGTTTCGTTCGTTCGTTCCAAATCATTCGATCAAACGATGTTAATTCCAGTTTAGTACTAGTTAGATCGTTATTTACAGATTTTTTTTAGATAGTCAACGTTTAGGCTAGAAGTGTGGATAGATAGATAGAAAGAGAGATAGAAAGGTACAAAGAGAGAGAAGAGGGGAAATAATAACGGTAATAATAATAAAGTAGAGTGAGACACATACATACATGCTGATTGACGAAGTCCACAACCTGGTTGGGATCGAAGAGGTGCTAAAACTATGAACGCCTAAGATTCAGCACTACTAAAAGAACACATCCAAATAGGAGAGCCCTAATTCAACTAACACCGAACACCATCGCTTCTGACCTCTGCCGCCTCTGATCTCTGGATGGATCCGTGAATATATTTTATTATTCCGAATTTTAAGCGCCACCATCCGCGGTTCTCCAATACATATAATTAGAATCTCGAAATTGCGGCGGCGCGCGCCCAAAAATAAGCTTTTATATACAGTTTTATTATAAATTGTATATAAAAGGCTGTTGACTTGGGCCCTCGCCGACTCGTTCACACATTCAGATCGACCAGAGAGCTGAAGCGAGGTGGATGCGAAACCAGATTTTTGGTACGTACATCTCCATTATATAAAAACCAAATAATAATAATAATAAAAAAAAAAACCAGAGAATTAAGCCATGCACAAATTGCTCTGCCATTCAAAAATAAGAACATACAAATATAAAATTAACAAAAAATATAGCTGCTCGTTTCCATTACCAATTGATCAATGCTACTACGTGTGTGTTTTTGTGTATAATCTTTTTTCCTTGTGTGCGTGTGTTCATCATTTGCTTATATTTTGTTGTAATATTTCGAATGCTCCTTTTATATTTTTAGATTTTAGTAATGCTGACTCTTGAAAATAAGAGGATATTAGACATTAAACAAAAACAATAGAGAAAGATAGTAAAGAGTAATTAAGTAGTTACGAAAGAACAGTGAGAAGAAGTAATGAAATAAACGTAACGAAAAAAAATCATACAAATAATTATATAATATTATAATAATGTAAGTGCAGAAATATTTAAATTATTTATAAAATATATATTTATGTATATATTTCAATAAATAGGTAGGGTAACAAAAATGTAGAAGTGTTTGTGTTTTAATCGATTAATTAAATGAGTATATATATAGAGATTAATTAACGTTTGATTAAGATTTGATTTCAGAAGTATCCATTACCAAAATCACCTATTACGTACAGATAAAAGATCCCTGACGACAAGATTTGATAATTGATACCTAATTTTCGTGTTTTAAGTACGAGTACTCAGAAGTAAATACTTAATACACCACCCCGTTCCAACCCTATCTCTCTTCCAGATGGGAGATACGTCGCGTCGGAATTGGCACTAGGCCAGGGTGTTATTAATTGTTATCAGATAACCTAGGTATTACAATGGTATCCAAAAGATAAAAAAAAAATAGAACAGTGGTTCAGTCGTATTTCTTACCGGAGCGTTGAGACATGGACAGGTGCAATGATGCGCAGACCTCACGGACTCTCTGGATACAGACCGGACTATTTTCAAGGTGGAGACCGGCGTCTGCGAGGTCCTTCGGTCCAGGAGTCCTCGCGGCGAGGACGAGTGCGTTGCCAGCTGGAAAGCATTTGATGAACTCCGGTTCCTTGCCGGGATGTTCGTCGATAGGTTCTGCTTGCATCCTTTCAGATCCAGCCTGGAACAACATCAAATAATCCGGATAAGGAAATTAATTATCTCATTCCATCGGAAAATTATTAACTCGAATCAGAAACAACTCCCACGTGCAAATACAATTACTTATTTTCACGGTCGCTTGTTTTAATTAAATCCCATTCCTTTTCCATCTTTTATAATCAATTTAAAATGAGAAAAACCGACTAAAGGAAATAACTCACTGTTATTATATTTCTAATGTAATTTGATAACATTTTTTTAAATTAATTTAAAGCATCTTCAAGAATATACTTAAAGTTTTTTTTTATGTGCAGTTAAAATAAATTTAAAACATATAGAAAATACAATTAAGGATAATTTGTAGAAAAAAAAAACAATTATAAAAATCAATCATATATTTCAATAAACGTGAATGCGCTTCAATAATTCTGTCTCATTAACCTGAATGTAAAAAAAATATATCATTATAATACCCAACTTTGCTATCTGACGCACCAATCCATATATAAATCTATTGAATGGAGATTTAACTTTAATGTTTTGCTGGTCATTTTCTCAAATTGCTTCCATGTTTTATGGGAATCACGAGGAAAACAAAAAGCTGTTTCTTTTAAAACGCTCCATATATCATTGATTTCCTTCTTTTTTTTTTTGATGTGGGCTATTACTCCAAATTTACGATGGACATTTATGTGTTGTCATTCCAACGATTTTATTCCCTCCACCTTTGATTTTAGTTTTAAATAAACAACCCTATCTGCAGTGATTTTTTTTTTCATGATACATTTTGTGGATGTCGCTGCAGATTGATAAGATAAAAGATGAAAAATTGTAACTGAAATTGATGTGTTTTTTGTTTGATCGAGCTTACATTCTTGTTTAATGAATTGTGATAAATTCGAAGTGATTGAAAATAAATGGATCAGAAACTTACAGGCGATTAATGATATATTCCTATTATACTATAAAAGTTTAATTTCGTTTGTGAAATTGTCGCTTTTGCTTTGAATGTATTTTTTGTTATATTTATGATGCTGTATATACATGTATTGTTTAATAAATTGTCCTGTTTAGGAGGTGTCCTGGATAGATGAAAAACAAAATCAGGATAGAAGTGGATGTGGTGTTAATAATTAAGGACGGCCGACGGTGACATTTTATTCTTTGCGGCCATTCAATGTTTGATGACGATTAGATCCGAAACACGGTTAGGGCGTGTTTACTGTTAGTAATGACAAATGCAGGTAATGTCGACCCAAAATATAAAATTCATTTAAGTCTCGAAGGGCCACGTGCTTAACGTATGAATAATATATTGATGCGGAAAAAAATGATTACCATTAATTGATTCTATAAATATTTTATATCCATATATTGTAGCCCTTCTGGCCAACCCTTACAACATCCTTATTCATTAAGCGATGGCTTATCGCGTTTCTATGCAAATATATTTGATGCATAAATAAATGGCACTGTAATAAGCAGAGAAACGGGCTAGGTAGGATTATGCGCCGCAATCCCACGTGCGGATCCAGCACAAAGGGCACTTTGTGCGAAAGTTAGTTTCATACAAACTTATTATCATCACCAGTTCACAACAACAACATCACAAAAATAATAACTATCTGCTTTGATGCAGAATGTTGCCTGCTATTAATTAGCGATTGCCGTTAATTAAAGCTATATACTCATATGCACGCTAATTATTAATTAGTCTTTGATGAACACGACGCGACGCGAGGCTATTGTCATTTGCTATTGGATTTATAATTCACGGTAAGTTGTTCATTCCGAGTTGACGCGATTGTCGTTTCTGCAGCCGTTGCTTTAATGGAATTTTAAAGCAGCAATTAGGTGAATATACATTGGCCAGGTCGGTGTTTTGTAGTCTGGAACGTATCTACAGCATTCCCCGTGGATTTTTACATTCATCCCAAAACTCTCTGAATACAGACTTCGCTCTCGAAATAAGTGCTCATCTATGTTATCTATATTAGAAACTTTCACCATTACAAACCTCATCTCCATTACAATTACTGCAATCATTGTCAACCATTATTTCAACAAAAACATATCATTATACATCTTTACTATTGCTGTATATGAAGATAATACGGAAATCCAGAAAGCAAGTTCCAAATATCTTAAATGTGTATAAATATGTCAATTAAGATGTATTATACCTGCAGTGTAGTTCGATGTCCGGTACCGATCTGGTGCTGTTCTCCTCCAAGCAGAGTGATCCATCCTCCTCGCTATCAGAAAACACGGATAATTGGGGATGGTGACTGGAGACTAGGAAGGTCGTGCATTCCTGTCTCATCAGCACCGGTTTCGAGCAGTTGGAGGGCGATGGAGCGCTCGTCAAGGACGGCCCGACCAGCAGACTCGCCGTCTCGTCCTGGCTACTCATGGTGAGCCCTTCTATCGCCTCCTCAACCCTAGAACCAAATCACAAATCAGCTAAAATCAAGTGGACACTGTCATTGTCCTACAGTGCTACAGTCGACGTGCTATTCGAACAATTGCGCGAATTTGCATGTCCCCACCAATCCAAACAAGGATTCAATTAGAACATCGACAATTAGATGTGTGGTCGTGTTCCAGTTTCTATCCGATTCGATATCATTCTGCGTGTGTTCACAATTATTCACTGGAAATTCAATTTGATTTCATAACTGTATTTTTTTTTCTTTTCGTAGACACGCTCTCTCTCTCTTATAAATTATGCGATAGGGGCAAAGTGAAAGCGGAAGCGTTGCAAGAGGGTGAATTAAATGTTAATATTCCGTCTTGCGCCTCTCTCGGAATTTTTTCCTTAAGGAATTCGCTCGAAATCAATATATCCGCACTGCATATCTTTAGACACTGTTCAAATCGATCACTACAAAAGTCATTTTTCAGATTTAAAAATAAATTTTAATCGAAATTTACAAAGAAAATATATAATATTTATTTCGTATAAATGTAAAATATTATATAATTTGATAACACCAACTTGTGAAATACCTCGCATAGTGCGGTTTTGAACAATCTGGATTTTGGTTTGAAAATTTCAAAGGATATTCAATTTTTATTGAAAAATAAATTATCTTTTTGTGCGGTTTATTTTTATATGTATTTGTCGAATCAATGATAAAATTAAAGCAATTAACTTAATAAGGACGATTGGCGGATATGTTCACTATATCATTTATTTTATATAAAATGATTGTGTTTCATTGTAAAATAGAAAATCTGGATTAGGATTTCTGTAGTATTTATTTAAATAATAAATTGAAATTAGAGTGAAGGGATGATTCTTGTTGTAAAATCAAGGGAAGTTCAAAGTGTGTCAAGTAGATTTACGTTTGAAATTCTGCTCAGATGGGTTGCGAAAGAGAAAATGAGCCAGTAAAGATAACACCCCCGACCCCACAGCGTGCTGCTATACGCTATATGATCGTTGCGTAATCCGTTTTTGGAAACTGGCAGCTGTAATCCCCGTCGATCGGTGCTAGAAATAAATACTTGCCCCCCGATATAGGTTCCGATTACTGTTGTGGATATGGAATTCCGAGAAGGATTAAATTTGTGACAACTGTGTTTATTATTTGGGGGGGTGGCGATAGAAATGATAATGTTCGCGTTGATGTTTATATAATACTGGTGAAAAGTTTGGGCCTTTGCGTGGCTTAGCGGGCTTTATAATTGTAGGTGGTTTCTAAAAGGAATCGACGGCCTGGAAAGCCTGGGGGCGGTCGACTTGACAATTACATTGCGGATTTGCAAGTACCCTGGGGGTGTTAACCTCGCGGCCCCTGAACTTTTCACTCGAAACAAGCCGGTACAAACGCATACAAACATGCAAACGATGGGGACGGGAGGTGGCTTTGAGTTCAATAACTTCGCTTTTGGTTTTCAGCCGGTGGCGAGCAAATAGTGTGCAGCCGCGCGGTGCACGTAAACTGAATTATTTATTCCCTGAAGTCGACTAACTTAAAGAACAGGTAATTACTACTGTTTCCTCTGCTCGCTCCGCGTCTCCTTAATAATGGATCGACCAATTAAAAATGCACACTAATAAGGTCCTCGAGACGTCTCCTTTTGGTCCTTCCGGGAACTCATTATGCGCATAAAGTTTACAGATATCATGCGTCAAAGACGTGTAATCAAATCCAAGGATAAAACATTACATATCACCATATACATTCTCAATTGCTCTAAAATTAATCATCTTAAATTTATTGGAAATTTAGAATTCAAATCAATACTTTCCAAATACAATCTTAATGAATCACATCCAGCAATTGTCCTTGACATATCCTTCATCTTATATACACACTATTTCCACCTCAATTTCAACATTATAAAACTTTTTTTTCCATTATCCTGAAATTTATTTTATGAACCAATATTCAGAAAAGCCCTATTTTCTTTTTCAAATTTTAGATTTAGAAACTCTCTTTTAAAATGAAGTTGAAACGTTTTTTTTTGTTGTTATTCATATTTTTCCTCATCCACACTGTGTGATAATTAATGAATTTTTAAGTATTGATTTCCACACAATTCGCAAAGTGCTTTATAAAATAAATAATTTTCTTACATTTTTAATATAATGAAGGGGTGTATTTTTAAATACAAAAATTCAGCAAAGTCAAATTTATTTCAAAAAGTATTTGATAAAAGAAAAATACTGATATAAGATACACTTGGTTCTCTTTTTATGCGGTAGATACGTTCCACATGAAAACGCATAAAAATAAATCGCACAAAAAAAGGACTAGACACACGTATAAAAATAAAGGATACGTTCCATAATTTTTTAAAATCGCATAAAACTAAATCAATGAGTTAAAATATACCGAAAATCGCATAAAAAAGGGTTTATTAAATTTCAGAAAAATAATTAGTCTTACTATGTTCTTTCTGAAATGTTTAATCATAATTTTATAAAAACGTTAACAATCATAGACAAGTTTATTTAATTTCAGAAAAATATAATCTTAACATATTCTTTCTAAATTTATACGGAAAAATTTTACAAAAAAAATACAGAAAATTTTTATGAAACTTAATCTTTCTTCACATTTTTTTCTTTAGAATTATCGTCGCTATATGAGAGTTTTCGGCATAATTTGCGAACTGGTTCGAAATCACTTTCATCACTAGAAAAGATAGTCAGCATATCAGATGTATATCCTGAAGATAATGATTCTTCACAAGTAAAAATAATCTCAACTTCGCATGTTGATTTTTTCCCTTTGACAGTATAATGAGTGATTAAACTTTGCGATGGCTCTGCTATTTTTTTTGTACAATTTCTGATATCCAGAAATGCAATTCTGAATCTCGCGTTGAAACTTGAATGCTCGTTCAGAATTATCATCTTTTTCGATAAAATGGTTTGCCAATTTGTGTCAAAACGTGTCGAAATGGCCTAAAATAGTTATTTTAAAAAAATGCTTCTTGAAATAAAAACCGCATAACTTCAAAACCGCATAAAAAAAGTACGCATAAAAAGAGGACCGAATGTAGTCAGACTAAAACGAATATACGTTGGGAATGTGAGACTATTAATGGGACCCTTGGTGATCATACAATATTCAGTGGGAAAGCACAGGATCGAAGCTCCTTCCTCCCAGGTTTTTCTTTATTTAATCCTGAGTGTATTTCATTTATAAGTAAATAGACGAAAGTAACGGAGTAAAACAAAAAGAATACAAAAATATCATTAAAAAACATTCCATGTTGCGATTATTTTTGTTTGTTCTGTTTGTTTATAGTCGCTGTGCAACATCTCTTTCGTCCATATGGTTATCATAACATATTCTGTGCCAGACCGAACCGTGCATATACTGCCATTAAAAACACCGGTGCCGGATGTTTCTTTTTTTTTATTATTATTTCATGTGTATGTGTGTGTATTATTTCAATTACGTAGTTACCGCGGAAATTTGCTCAGGAAAAATATGTGCGTTTATTTTTGTAAATTTGTTTTCAAATTTATTGTACGACCATTATTTACAGTCACATATTTTACTGAGGAATGGAATTTTTAAATTTATGCATCTCCTTCATGTCATGACATATAACCTTTTGCGAGGAATACTTTCATACATATATGACAACTTTAACTGACATATTTGTATTATTATATCATTACAGTCTATAACATTTAAAGAACTTTCGCGGTCTTATACATTTCTATACGATTTCATTTCTATTGAAATTTTTCAAATTTATTTAATCTGTAATATTTTACATAATTAAATAAGTTATTAAGAAAGTAAATATTTGCAATGCTTATAAGTAAAACATCCTTAGTAAATTAGGATGAATGCAACATCGAAAATTTCCTTGCGTTGAATGATGTAATGCGTTGTTTGTTGAGCTTCATTATAACGCTGAAAGTTAGGAGAACTCGCAGGACAATGTTATATAATAGTATTGACTTAAGAAGTTCAACAATAGGAAACTGCAGACATCGTATTATTAGGTATAAATTTATAAATAAACAAAATTAAAATTTAAAGAAAATTAAAAAAAGATTTATAGATAAGATTTCTCTTAAAAAATGAAATTTGTAAAAAAAAATTGTTATATAACCGAATATGGGGTTGTAATTCTTGTTGTGGTTTTGTGTGTAAAATTAGGATGTTATTTGTAGGTAGTTGAGATGTATTGCTTGTAAGACCGGAAGTTATGAGGATCGGGTAAATGAAGAAGAAAGGAGACGGCCTTAAATTGCAGGATGTCACGTGCACACGTGTCGTCGAGGAGGCAGGAAGAATGTGTCGTTTCGCTGCGCCCAGACAAGGATTAGAATTCACGGCTCGAATGAAGAAGAAGAAGAAGAAGTTACAGAGGTTCCGGTTTTTACGGACCCCGTTTAAAGCGCCACTTGCGAAGATATGTGCAGACGAGGATACCATAAATGTTTATGTAACTTGTCGACCGTAAAAATGCTATTGCAAGGATGGAGGCGAATTATCCCCTTTCAAACATAACCTTGGGGTGTATACAAAAAAATACAAGTAGAAGACAAAGGGAATATGATGAATTTTGAGGAAAGATAAATATTGTGTTGATGTGATTACATTAAAAGCAACCCTTTGCTAAATAAAAAAAAAATAATAAGAGAAGAAGACGATAAAGAATGTGATGAATTTGGGGAAGCAAGAATGTCTTAATGTGATGCAATTTGTTTATTTTCAAAATTAAACCCTTGGCAAAATATTACCCCAATAAGAATAATGGAGGAAGTAGATAGATAAAAAGTAGAAGATTAAGGAAAAAAGGGATGTGATGATTGTCAATGCAAAATAACGTACATTAGAAATATTAATTTATAGGGATGTAGGTTGCATCAATGGAGATACAGCAATTATTCCCTTTGAAACATAACATGGGGTGTATATAATAATACAAGTAGAAGACAAAGGGAATATGATGAATTTTG